GACCTATATTCCCTGGGAGCATACTCCTCTGAGTCACAGAATCTCCTGGACCTTGGAGGTCATCTAATGCTACGCATCCCTAAGTAAGAATCCCTTCTATGGCAGCCCCACAAAGGGGTCACCTCAGGATTTGCCCCCTGAAGACCTCTAAGACGTAGAACCCAATGCCTCGACTCCCATGGAACAATTCACTCTTCATTAGATAACTCTAATTGTTAGAAGTTTTTCCTTACATTAAACCGACATCCTGCTCCTATTTCTGCCCTCTGGGGCTAAGCAGCACAAGCTTCTTTTATGCCATAGTCTTACCATAACTATTATATCCCAGGCTAATTGTTTTCTTCTGCTCCTTGATCAACATTCCTAGTTCTTTCAGATGCACTTCCCCTTGCATAATCTTAATGTAGGGTGGAAGGATGAAAATGTATTTATTAGGTGCTAGCAACTGTGCTTGCCTGAGTGGGAGCCATAGGAGACTCTAGAAGCCATTTGGACCAAACCTCTTATTTTATAGGGAAGGAGACTGAGGCCCAGAGAATTGAAGTCACATGTCCAGGATCACATAGGCTGTAGAGCCAGGATGAAAACTCAGGTCTTTTGACTCCAAATTTGGTGTCATTTCCTCCATACCATAATACCCTGCCCTTCATAGGACGAGTCTCCATCTTATCAATGTTCTTCCTAAAATGTGACCTCAAGAACTGAATATGAAAGTCCAGATATGGTTTGACAAGGGATGAAAAGTCCAATGCATCTATCATCTCCCTTGTACTAGACATTACCTAATCTCTATTTTTTAAAAAATTATTTTGGTTTCAATTGATGGAATAAAACAAGCATTTCCATAACATAGTATAATAAAAAATATGATTGCACATGAAATTGCAAATCTACTATGTACAACTTTTAAATATACAACAGTTATCATGTAAATTTATTTTTTCTCCTTTTTTCCTTCCCCCCTCAAAAAATGGAGCATTCCCCCATAGAGATGACACATTAGACACAAATAGGTATATATATGTAAAATTATTCTATACATATTTCTATTTATCAGTTCTTTCTCTAGATGCAGATGGTTTTTCTTCATGTCCTTTATAGTTAATTTGGGTTTTATAATAGTCAAGATGACTTATTCGCTCAAAGTCATTCATAAAACAATATTGCTGTTACAGCATACATTGTTCTCTTGGTTCTGCTCATTTCGCTCTCACTACTTCATGCAAGTCTATTCATATTTTTCTAAGATTACTGACTTCATCATTTCTTAAAGCATAGTGGTATTCCATCATAGTCATACACCACAACTTGTTAAGCCATTCCCCAACTGATGGGCATCCCTGCAATTTCCAGTTCTTTGCCACCACAAAGAGAACTGCTATAAACATTTTAGAACCTATATATATATATTGTTCCTTTTTCCCTGCTCTTCTTTGGAAATAGACCTAGTAGTGGTATTGTTCCATCTAATCTCTTAATGCAACCCAAGATTACATTGCCTTTTGGGCTGCCAGATCACAGTGCCTGGATCTTTTTGAAGACATCTATATAGATGCTTTTTCCATTTTGAACTTTTGAAACAAATTTTTTTTTTACCCTTTTCATTATCAACCAGTCAGGATTTATTAAGCATGTACAATGTGCCAGGCACTGTGTTAGGTGTTGGAAATACAATTACAAAGAATGAAGCCATCTCTACTCACAAGGAACTTATGGAGGAGGAAAAGAGCTACAGGTATAAAAATATCCAGCATGACCATAAAGTGAATAAATACAGATATATACAAAGTAGGTAAATAAATAGGAGGGAGGACACTAGAGGTTCAGGTGGGAGAGATAAGCAAAAGCTTCATACAGAAGATGGTACCTGAAGTGGGGCTTAAAGGAAGAGAGGGACCCTATGAGATGGAGGTCAGGATGGATTGCATTCTAGGCATGTGGGAGGGACAGTGAAATGGTACAGAAATGGGAGGCATGTCATATGTGAGCAGCAGAGAGAAGGCCAATTTGGCTGGATCTCAGAGTGAAGGAAGAGGAAGAATGTCCAATGGGGTTGAAAAGTTGGGTTGGGGCCAAGTGTTATGGGGCTATTCTTGCCTGTCAAAGTCTCTTTGGATCCTATCATCCAATATGTTAGTTATCTTAGCTGCGTGTCATCTAGATTCTTCCAAGTTATTAATAAAAATGTCAAATAGCAGTGATCCTTGGTGTATGCCACCTCCTTCCAAGATGGTTGTTCAGTCATGTCTGACTCCCCTTTGGGGTTTTCTTGGCAAAGATACTGGAGTGGTTTACCATTTCTTTCTCCAGCTCATATTACAGATGAGGAAACTGAGACAAACAGGGTGAAGTGACTTGCCCAGGGTTACACAGCTGTTAAGTGTTGCAGGCTGGATTTGAACTTCGGTCCTCCTGACTCTATACCCAGTGTTTTCTATTCACTGCCCCACTTAGCTGCCCGGAGATGCTACTGAACCGTTAATGACTACTCTTTCAGTTGAATGGCCAGATTCTGAATCCACCTAACTATACTATTATCCGGTCCACATGTCTCTATCTTGTCCAACAAGGAGAAAAGAGTCCTAAACCCTGTTATATAATGCCAATCAGCACTCCTTCATTCACAGTTCTCTATTTTCTTTCCTGTCCATCTTGGATTCGTATGTCTTGTCTTTTCTTCTAAATAGTCAAGCAGTAAGCATGTATTATGTGTCTATGGTGTATCTAGCACTGTGCTAAGCATTTTGGCAAAAGACAGTCTTGCTTTCAAAGATCTCTCAGTCTAATGGAGGAGACTATATTTGGACAACCATGTACAAACAAGCTATATAGGATAAACTGAAGATAATCAATAGATTAGAAGGCACTGGAATTAAGAGAGTTCAGCAAAAGCTTCTTGGAGAAGGTGGGATTTTAGCTGAGACTTGAACAAAACCAAGGAATCCCAGAGATACAGATGAGGAGGAAGAGTATTCCAGGCACGAAGAATGGCCAGTGACAATTCTTGAGTCTGCAGATAAAAGTCTTGTCCAAGGAGCAGTAAGAAGCCATTAGATTGAAGAGTCCATGGTCCGGAGGAGTTAAGAAGACTGGAAAGGAAGAAGGGAACCAGGCTGTGAAGAACTTTGAACACCAGAGGACTATATATAACATATATGTGTGTGTGTGTGTGTGTGTGTGACATACATGTATATATTATTTATTCATTTATTATATTTACTTGTTCATTATTTTTATATTTATATTTTATATATCATCCTAGAGGTGACAAGGAGTCAATTTTCCTCTACCTGTTCCATCTCAGTAGCTGATCTCATGACCATCTCATGGATAATACCTCTTTTTTTCCTACCTCAACTTGCTGTGGTTCAGTAGACAGAGCATTGACTTGGGAGTCAGAGGGCCTTGGTGCAAGTCTTGCTTTTGACATTTACTACGGCCTGGGTTGAATCATTTGAACCTTGATTTGTAGTTGTTTAGTTGTTTTCAGTCATGTCTGACTCTTCTGTCCCCTTTTGGGACTTTCTTGGTAAAGATACTGGAGTGGTTTGCCATTAGCTTCTCTGGCTTATTTTACAGATGAGGAAACTGAGGCAAACAGGGTTAAATGGCTTGATCAGGGTCACACAGTTAGCAAGTGTCTGAGACAGGATTTGAACTCAGGTCTTCCTGACTTCAGGCCCAGCACTCATCTACTTCACTACCTAGCTGCTCTAGCTGAACCTGTTTCCTCATCTGTAAAATAAGAGATTTGGACTAGATGGCTTCCTGAGGTCCCTTCCAGCTTTAAATTTACACTCTACCCCTGCCCCAAAAGCTGTGCTATCATATTTACTCTATCCACCCAGTCACAAAACAAGTATTCACTGAAAGCTTCCAGTGTGTCCCCTACCCCCAAGTAGGCTTCCTAAACTCTTTGCTTATTTTGTGGTCCAGTGGAAAGGCCTTAGATCTGGAGTCAGGGGACCTGATCATAGGCCCTGCCACTTACAGCATCCTCTCTGGGCTTCTGTTTCCTCATCTGTAAAGTGAAGGGACTGAAACAGCCCCAATATTCAAACATTTTTCATCTCAGAATCCCTTTACATTCCGAAAAACTGAGGACCCCCTCAAGTGCTTTTGTACATGTGAGTTATAGAAATTTACCATATTGGAAATTAAAGCATCATTGTGTTATTATGAAAAATAATTTTGAGCCCCAGACCCCCAAGACTTCCTAAAAGGATCTGAGGACCCCCAGAGGTTCCCTGACCATTCTTTGAAAACCATTGGAATAAATGACCACTAAGGTCCTTTTGAGCTCCAAATCAGTGACCCTGTTATTTCCCTAACCTAATCATCTAACCTGTTTCCCCCTAATGTCCTTCTTTTCCTCCTTCCCAAAGTTCCAACTACAAAGGCTCTGGGAGTTGAGGGGGAAGGGAGGATGGTGAGGCTGGGGAGGAAGGGTGACAGGAAGAAAAGGCACCTCCTCCACCTCTTAGGCATGTGTGTGTGTGTGTGTGTGTGTGAGAGAGAGAGAGAGAGAGAGAGAGAGAGAGAGAGAGAGAGAGAGAGAGAGAGAGAGAGAGAGAGAATCTCATAAAGACAAAAGTGGAAAGGCTGTTGGGGAGGGGGGCGCGCAGCTGCACTCTATCCCACTGAGGGCCCCCTGGGGAGCTTGTGGGGAGTACGTGGGCGTAGCTTGGATAGGGGGACACCAGGGACAGTAGCGCAGCCCGGGAAGGCCCGGCGGTCGCGTTCGCGCGTGCGTCCCACTATACTCTTTCCCTCCCTATCCACCCAGACGCAAGCTCCCTTCCCACGCCCCCGCCCTCCTCCTGCCCACCCCTGGAGAGTAAGAGCCCCAGCCCTAGCCTAGCCCGAGTGACAGAGCTCAGTCGTGCGCCCCGGGGGCGAAGAGGGTGGGGAAAGGAAGGAGGAGGAGAGGTGGAGAGAGGGGGAAGGAAAGAGGGAAGCAACAGCAAAGCAAAGAAAGAAAAGACCACCATAACGAGGCCAGAGCCGAGGGAGGCGGAGGCTGGGGCTGGCAGGGAAGGGCGCGTGGAGCCCAGAGTCGCAGCTGCCTCAGAGCACGCTGAGGTCGCCGCCGCCACCACCGTGCAGCTCAGCTCGGGCCGCCGGGGATCGCGGAGCCTCCGGGGAGCGGGAGCCAGGTCAGTGTCCAAGCCGGAGCCCGCTCGCCGGAGGAAAGGAGGAGGGTGTCACCGGCGGGGAAAGGGATGGGGGTGGGGGTAGAGGGCGGAGACCCAGGCATTAGCGCCTGCTTGCACTGGGGGCGGGGGTCAGGAAATCAAAGTTTGCATGCACTGGCGGGGCGGTGCACGAATGGGGGTGCGAGGAGACGAGGGAGGGGATTCGGATTTGCTGGGGCTGGCTAGGCGAGTCGAGGCGGGGTTGTGCATGCGTGGGGGTTGGGGGAGGTCGAGTTGCTTTGTGTTGCAGCAGCGAGTGGACCACGCTGGCTGCGCCAGGAGGCTGGGGGTTCCCTTCTTTCTCCCTGGGACTGTGGTGGGCGGTGAGAGGGGAGCAGGGATGCTCCTGCCGCCCCCATCCCACCAGGGTCTTCTTCTGAGAACCCCTCCTCCCCTCCCTTCTTTTCCCACATCCACTCCCTACTTCTAATTGTGGATTCTCAGACTCTTGTCTCCCTGCCCTCTCAGGTACCAGAAATCTCAAATTGCCCATTCTGCCAGTCATCTTGAAGCTTTCGAAGCTTTCATTCATCCCCACCCCCACTTCTGCACTTGATCCCGCAGAGCAACTTGGGATTCTGGGGTCAACGTAGGTATTCAAGCCTGCCCTGGCCGGATGGTCTGGGCAGGTGCCCACCAGAATCAGAAATGGTCCAGGTAGCCTGGGGTGACATTTCCTTACAGAGCCTGGGGCTGGGCTGAGTGGACAGCTTGAGACAAGTGACACCTGTGCTACCTAGGCCCTTGGCACCTTCGGGTACTGCTGCCCACTCTTTTGTGACTAGGATTCCTTGATTGGAAATCTTAGTGGTGCCCAGATCCAGAATCCAGGCTAGCAGATGGGGCTGAGGTGCTGTGGGAAGGGAGGGTGCCCTCTAGCCTCTTAACCTGGGTGTTCTGACAGGCCAGACTAGCCACTGATCTTAGAGCCCAGCAGGGGGCAAAGGGAGGCCTCTTGGATTTTCTTGTTCTGGAGAGTTGTATGCAGGCACAGTGACCTAATAGATTCTGTGACTGGGGAGTGGGGACTTTACCAATCTCCTTTAATTCTAGTACCTTCTTTCTGTTGATTATCTCCAGTTTATCTTGTATGTAGCTTTTTTCTAAGTAGTCATTTTCGTATCCTGGCATTAGACTGTGACCTGGTCAAGTGCAAGGACTGTCTTTTGCCCTTTCTTTGTATTCCCCTACACTTAGTACGGTTCCTAGCAGGTAGAAAGTGTTTAATAAATGTTCATTGACTGACTACATGTAGGTCATTTTTGGGGCAGAGAATCATGGAACTTAGGACTCCCATTCCCCCAAACTACTTGCAGGGAGAAATTTGATTTCTTCAGTTCCCTCCCCCCCCTCCCCTTCCCCAGTCTATCTCAGGCTGTTTTAGACAGCGCATACCCAAAGAATTTTTTTTTTTTTGGTATGCTTTGATGGTTTCCAGATGAGCCTGTAGCATTGGAAACCCAAGTTAAATCCCAGCAGTTGGTTACATATTGAAGGTTTGGTGGGGCTGCTGACTTCTCTGGAACTGTCATCTTCCAAACTTACAGCTGGCTGACTGGAGTCAGGATTGGAGCCTCACATGGAGAAGGGATGAGCCTGCACCATTGAAGTGAAGGGGCAGGACAAGAGAGTCCAATCAGTTATTCTTACTGAAGTCCATCAAAAAGAATTTCTTAAATGTTTCCTATGGGCCAGGCACTGTGCTGGTTACTGGGAGTGCAGACAAAAAAGAGTCAGTCTTTGCTTGCAGGGAGCTTCCTTTCTATCAATTATAGGAAAATCAGAGATCATAAAGGCAATGAGTTTGGTTGTTCCTAAATCCCACAGCCATGATCACAAGAGCATTTTCTCTGGCTGTCCCCCCATGCCTGGAACTCTCTCCCTCCTTGGCACTGACTACTGACTTCCCTGTCTTCCTTATGATCTCAACTAAAATTCCACCTTCTAGATCAGGGGTGGGGAACCTGTGAACCTCTAGGCCACGTGTGGCCTTCTAGGTCCTTGGGTGCAACCTTTTGACTGAGTCTAAGTTTTTTACGGAACAAATCCCAGGGGACTAGAAGGCCGCATGTGGCCTTGAGGCTGCAGATTCCCCACCCCCATTCTAGAGGAAGCCTTTCCTCACCACTCTTAATTCTAGTGCCTTCCCTCTGTTAATTGTTTCCTATTTATCCTGTATATAGCTTACTTTGTATATATCTATTTGTGTGTTCTCTCCCTCATTAGATTGTAAGCTCCTTGAGGGCAGGAACTGTCCTTTGCCTTTTTTGGTATTCTCAGTGCTTAGCACAGTGCCTGGCATGTAGTAAGTGCTTAATAAATGTTATTTAATTGAATTGAATTAGAGAGGTAATTCTGTGTGGACTTTGGTCCCTTTCTTGTCCTGTGCTTTTCTGTTTTTGTCTTTGATCACATGCATCCCCCATACCAGCAGTGGCCTGCCTTGATGCCTCCACTATCCTTCCAACCTGTTACATGGTGATTTGGCATGGTATCTAGTGATGGGGAGGCAGGTAGGTGGTACAGAGGATAGAGCACCGAATCAGGAAGATCTGAGTTCAAATCTGGCCTCAGACGCTTACTAGCTGTGTGACTTTGGACAAATCACTTAACTCTGTTTGTCTCAGTTTCCTCATCTTGTCAAATGAGCTGGAGAAGGAAATGGCAAACCATTCCATTATCTTTGCCAAGAAAACCCCAAATGGGGTCATGAAGAGTTGGATATGCCTGAATAATAACCACACTGCAACAATAGCAATGCTGATGATATGGTGTGTAATGATTCTAGACTCTGCTTCAAGTGATCCATGTTTGAATCGCAGTGGAACATATTTGTGTCCCCTGTGAAAAGCAACTTGGTATAAAGCAGGTTGAATTAATCTTTTTTTGTGTGTTATGGATCCCTTCTCGGAATGATGTTTTTAAATGCAAAAAATAAAATCTACAAGATTACCAAAGAAATAAAATTATGTTGAAATATAGTTATCAAAATAATTTTTAAAAGTTCAGGGACCCCAAGTTTAAGAACCCTTGGTATAGAGGAAAATGGATTCGTAGTCAGAAGTCTTGGGTTTGCTTCTTTCCTCTAATATTTATGACCTGTCTGAGCAAGTAATTCCACACACTCCCACCCCCAGTCTCAGTTTCCTCCTCTGTAAAGAGGGGACTGGACTGGATAATTTCCAAGTGCACTTCTGACCCTCAGTACTTTCTTCTTTAGGAGCAGCTGGGTGGTGAACCTCAGTTTGATTTTGGCATCAGACACTTAACAGCTGGGCAAGTTACTTCACCTCTGTTTGCCCCAGTTCCCTTAGCTGTAAAATGGAAATCATCATAGCACCTACCTCCCAGGGTCGCCTTGAGGATCAGATGAGATAATACGTGTAAACTGTTCAGCGTGGTGCCGGGCACATAGGCACTTAATAAATGCTTATTTCCTACTTTCCTTGCAGTAAGTAGCATCTGCAGCTACCTTTCTGAAATCCTTTTGTGAAAACCTCTGTCTCTTCCTTCTATAGATGAAAGCCAACCCTATGTGAAGTTGTAGAGTCTTCTTTTTCCCCACCTTTTCCTGTACCCTTTCTCTGGCCTTGCTTATTTCAGGTACCTTGGACTCTTCATTCCTTGTCCAGTGTCAAAACTTGAAAGGATCTGAAATGACCATCTGCTCTTTGATTGGTTGAAAGCCATTGTCAGTGAGATCTTACCTTACCCAACTGTTTGCATTTAAGCTTTTAGGTCTGGTTGTAGGATGAAAGGCTTTATCCTTAGATAATCCTTTAAATGGTGTCCAGGGGGACTTGTCCTGTGTTTGAATGCTAGACCAGTCAGCTGGGGAGAGGGTCAGAATCAGGATCACAGGATTTGAGTTGGAAGAAACTGTGGAAGCCATGGAATCCAGCTTGCCAACAACTGAACAGGATTTCCTTTTACAGTGTCACCATCGAGAAGGCATCTGACCTTTTCTCGAAGACCTCTTATGATGGGTAACTCACTACCTATTGAGGCAACCCAAATTGTTAATGTTTCTCCTTGTATTTTAAAGCCTAATGTTGTTTCTTCTTTTCTCCAGGTAAATTGTCCTGGATTGCCACCAAAGGTAACTCAGGTTGGCTTGCAGGGTGCTTGATTTTCTTGGTCATATACTACTAACCCATGGAGGAGTTGGAAATTTGTGCTGGTGGAAGGGATAATTGAACCAACAAAGTCAATGGATCAACCAGCATTTTTAAAGCTGGGGTTGTAAAGAAAAGTGAAGTAGTCCCTAGCCTGAAGGAGCTTATGGATTAAGAAGTAGAAAGACTGGGGCAGCTAGGTGGCATAGTGGATAGATCCCCGGCCTTGGAATCAGGAGGACCTGAGTTCAAATGTGGCCTCAGACACTTGATGCTTAATATCTGTGTGACTCTGGGCAAGTCACTGAACCTCAGTCTGCCTCAGTTTCCTCATCTGTAAAATGAGTATAATAATAGCACTTACCTCCTAGGGTTGTAGTGAGGATAAAAAAATCAGATAATTTTTTTAAAGTGCCTGGCAAACCTTAAAGCATTATAAAAAGCTAACTCTTTTATTATCTGTTGCTAAGTGATTGACCCACTTCCTTTCCCAATCAAACATATTTTTGGATGATATATTCCTTATGCCACTTTTGGCATGGAGCTCATTTTTGGAAATAATTCCATAGCCTGCTCTTGCTCCTCAAGTGTGTCTTCATTGCTTTTTGGGCAAATGAAGGTCATGCAACAGGATGACATGTAGTCAGTCACCAAAGGTGTTTGCTGCTCTCTTGGGGGAGGTCCTTTGTATAGTCCAAAAGGAAGAGGGAATCCCCAGGTGAGGTCTTTGACCCGGCTCTTGTTTGTGTCGATTTCACTGACTACTCCCTACCCCTGTCCCCAAACTCCGTGACTTCTTCTGTGGGATCCATAGAAGAGAATTTAAAAAGAGATTTAAAAGAGATG